AAAAAAAAAAAAAAAAAAAATGTTAAGGCTCAAAAAAAGGTGTGACATTCATTATGTTAATTACCACAATAACAACAGTGATAATTAAATATCATCTTAATGCTTTACCCTACAAGTTAAGGCCACTCAAGGATTAACATGAAGAACTGTGCTTTACTGATTATATACTTGGAAATATCCTAGATACCATAGCCTCTGTGACCTAAGGAGCTAGCTACATGGAAAAGGAAAAAAAAGCAAGGAAAGTATGAGACAGAGAAAAAGCCCGAGAATCTTCCTTAGCCCTCAAGTAGCAGAAAGGTATTTGTACTCCAACCCTGAGCAGTCAGCCAAGCAGCACTGGTATCTTTTCAGGTAAGGTATCACTAAAGGACAAAGAAAGGTAGAGATTTAGAAAACTTCAGCAGATAGGCTAGAAAACACACCACATTTCAGCACAGAGAAGCAGGGAATGCATAATGTTTACAAAGATATAGGAATAAAAAAAATGTGTTTACTTCCTCCTTCAAAGAGAAGGCAATTTCAGGGGCTCTTTGTAATATAAGCTATACAAAAACTACAGAATCCACCCAAGAATACCAGCACTTACCAGCTCTCTCAGAGCTGACCTTCCAAGCAGAATTGTCCACAGTTCCCTGCTGCTCCTGAAGAATGACAGAAAGCAGAGGTAATTTTGCACTTTCATTTTTTTTTAAGGTTTCATTTATTTGGGGTGGGGGAGGGTAGAGAGGGGGAGGACAGAGGATCTAAAGTGGGCTGAGCTGACAGCAGTGAACCTGACACAGAGCTCTAACTCACAAACTGTGAAATCATGACCTGAGCCGAAGTCGAATGTTCAACTGACTAAGCCACCCAGGTGCCCCTGCACTTTCAGAGAATACAAATTTGATAAGCTGTCTCACAGTATCTCATCTATTCTCTGAAATCAGGAAACTCAATGTATAAAGCAATTTGATGAAATTCTAGACATTAATCCTATTCTATTTTTCTTATAAGTTTGATGTTCAAAGTAGAAATTAAGAAACTAACATATAACCTAAACCAAGCAGGTACTATTAAAAATGAACATGGCCACCACATTTCAATGCATTTAAGATGCCATTAATTGGGGGCGCCTGGGTGGCTCAGTCGGTTAAGCGTCCGACTTCAGCTCAGGTCATGATCTCGCGGTCCGTGAGTTCGAGCCCCACGTCGGGCTCTGGGCTGATGGCTCAGAGCCTGGAGCCTGCTTCAGATTCTGTGTCTCCCTCTCTCTCTGCCCCTCCCCCGTTCATGCTCTTTCTCTCTCTGTCTCAAAAATAAATAAACATTAAAAAAAAAAAAGAAAAAAAAGATGCCATTAATTGAAGGATACATAATTATTTATGTTCTATCAATAATAAAATGCATTGCAATTTCAGAGGTATTAAAGTATGCAAAAATGTATATTTTAGAATTAATGAAATATAAAAATTAGTGAATTATCTTACATCTTCTATGCTAAGGCACTGCCTCAATGCAGCATTTTATTTCTACCTCCTCCCCTCTCATTAAAATGTAGTGACAAATAAGGAGAATCTAGAAAAGGAGTATATCGTGGCGCCTACGTAGCTCAGTCAGTTAAGTGTCTAACTTCGGCTCAGGTCATGATGTCACAGTTTGTGAGTTCAAGCCCTGCATCAGGCTCTGTGCTGAAAGCTCAGAACCTGGTGCCTGGTTCTGACTCTGTGTCTACCTCTATCTCTGCCCTCCCCCAAGCTTACTCGTGCTCTCTCTTTCCCAAAAATAAACATTAAAAAATTTTTTTTAATAAAAAAGGACTATATTTCAAGCCACCCATGACTTCCAGAATTTTTTTTTTACCATTTTATTAATTTTTTAAATTTACATCCAAGTTAGTTAGTATACAGTGCAACAATGATTTCAGGAATATATTTCCTTAATGCCGCTTACCCATTTAGCCCCTCCCCCCTCCCACAATCCCTCCAGTAACCTTCAGTTTGTTCTCCATATTTAAGGGACTCTTTTGTTCCCCTCCCTGTTTTTGTTTTTGCCTCCCTTCCCTTATGTTCATCTGTTTTGTATCTTAAAGTCCTCATACAAGTGAAGTCATACGGTATTTGTCTTTCTCTGACTAATGTCACTTAGCATAATACCCTCTAGTTTCATCCACATAGTTGCAAATGGCAAGATTTCATTCTTTTTGATTGCTGAATAATACTCCACTGGATACGCATACACACACACACCGCATCTTCTTTATCCATTCATCTATCGATGGACACTTGGGCTCTTCCATACTTTGGCTATTGTTGATAGTGCTGCTATAAACATGGGGTGCATGTGCCCCTTTGAAACAGCATACCTGTATCCCTTGGATAAATACCTAATAGTGTAACTGGTGGGTCACAGGGTAGTTCTATTTTTAATTTTTTGAAGAACCTCCATACTGTTTTCCAGAGTGGCTGCCCCAGTTTGCATTCCCACCAGCAGGGCAAAAGAGAGCCTCTTTCTCCGCATCCTCGCCAACATCTGTTGTTGCCTGAGTTGTTAATGTTAGCCATTCTGACAGATGTCAGGTGGTATCTCATTGTGGTTTTGTTTTGATTTCTATTTCCCTGATGATGAGTGATGTTGAGCATTTTTTCATGTGTCAGTTGGCCACCTGGATGTCTTCTTTGGAGAAGTGTCTATTCATGTCTTTTGTCCATTTCTTCACTGGATTATTTGTTTTTTGGGTGTTGAGTTTGGTAAGTTCTTTATAGATTTTGGATACTAACCCTCTGATATGTTGTTTGCAAATATCTTCTCCCATTCCGTCAGTTGCCTTTTAGTTTTGCTGTTTCCTCTTTTTTTTTTTTAAGATTTTATTTAAGGAGGAGCACCTGGGTGGCTCAGTCAGTTAAGCACCTGACTTTTGATTTCAGTTCAGGTCATGATTTCATGGTTCATAGGATGGAGTTTCACATTAGACTCCATGCTGACAGTGCGGAGCCTGCTTGGGATTCTCTCTCTCTCTCTCTCTCTCTCTCTCCCTCTTTTTTCTGCCTCTCCCTTGCTCGCACTCTCTCTCTCTCTTAAAAGTAAATAAGGGGCGCCTGGGTGGCTCAGTCAAGCTTCCAACTCTTTTTTTTAAATGTTTATTTTTGAGAGAGAGACAGAGCACAAGCGGAGGAGGGGCAGAGAGAGAGGAAGACGCAGAATCCAAAGCAGGCTCCAGGTTCCAAGCTGCCAGCACAGAGCCTAACTTGGGGCTCAAACTCAAGAACCGTGAGATCATGACCTGAGCCAAGGTCGGCTGGTCAACTAACTGAGCCACCCAGGTGCCCCAAGCGTCCGACTCTTGATATCAGCTCAGGTTATGACCTTATGGTTCATGAGTTCACGAGTTCAAACTCCGTGTCAGGCTCCAGGCTGGCAGTGCGGGGCCTGCTTGGGATTCTCTTTCTTGCTCTCTCTGCTCTTCCCCCATTCAATCTCACTCTCTCTAAAACAATAAACGTTAAACAATAAAAATGAGTGAATGAATGAATAAATACATACATACATACATAAGGGGTGCCTGGGTGGCTTAAACAGTTGAGCCTTCGACTCTGATTTTGGCTCAGGTCATGATTCCAGGGTCATGGGATCAAGCCCCGCATCACGGTCGACAATAAGGGTGGAGCCTGCTTAAGATTCTCTCTCCCTCTCCCTGTTCATTCTCTCTCTAAAATAAATGAATAAATAAATAAATAAAATTTAAAAAAAATTGTCTCTCAGGGTATGTCTGGCTGGCTCAGTCAGTGGAGTGTGCACTCTTGATCTCAGGGTGGTGATTTCAAGTCCTATGTTTGGTGTAGATTACTTAAAAATAAAATCTTTTAAAAAAATTGTCTTTCAGGATTTTCCCATCAAAGAGGTTTAAAACCTAAAATTATAAACCTCCTAAGGGTTAATGCTTGTAAGAAAACTTCAGTTCTGCTGAATTAATAGACACCAACTCCCAGAGCTGCACTGTCGAATCAGTAATCATTTATCTGATGACAAGAGCATTACAGCATTCACTATTCAAAAACTGGCTTTGGATCAGGTCACGATCTCACAGTTCATGGGTTCCAGTCCCGCATCTGGCTCTGTACTGGCAGTGCGGAGCCTGCTTGGGATTCATTCTCTCTCCCTCTCTCTCTCTCTCTGTCAAACAATAAACTTTGAAGCTCTGGTGCTACGTGCATAGTGCCGTTACTGTAGCCAGGTCAGTCTCAGGTCCCAGATTCGTGAGTCGGCCCAGCGCAGGCTCTGGGCTGATGGTCTGCAGCCTGGAGCCCCTCGCTGATGTCGTGCCCTCCTCTCTCTGCCCCTCCCCTCGCACGTCATGCTCTTTTCTCTGTCCCAAAAATAAATAAAAAACGTTGAAAAAAAATTTAAAAAAAAAAAAACAAAACAAATAAACTTTAAAAAAGAAATAAAAAATTAAGCCAGTTGAGTCTGGGCTACTGGTACTCCCAGTGAGTAACATCCTGCTCAGCTCAGGATCATGATCTCTGGCTGTTGCTGAGTTCAAGCCCCAGTACTCGGGCTCTGTGCTGATAGCTCAAAGTCACAATGGAGCCTGCTTCAGATGTCTCTCTGTCTTTCCCCACTCACACTTGTCTCTCTCTCAATACCCAATAAACATTAAAAAAAAAAAAAATTAAAGTGCTATAGGACACCTGTGCCCGTCATGATTAGTCAAGCACAACTCTTGGTTTGCCAGGCAAATATCTGAGATTCATAGAAATTGCTGAGCTACGACCAGTGCTTTGATCTCTCTCTCTCCTTCTCTCGCTGCTCCTCCCCCCACACACAGGTGCTATCTCTCTCTCTCTCAAAATAAAATTAAAAAAAAAAAAAAAAGATTCTCTCTCTTTTCCTCTGCCCCTCCCCCCTTCTCTCTCAAAAATCAAAAAAACAGCATACACTTGAGAACTTTACATAGGATACCTTCTGATTTACACAGAATGGATTAGATACCTACTATATAACACATAGCTAACAATAGGGCTGACAGTACATCAAAATTAACAGAAAGAAATTTATCATTAATTGAAGGCATTTGTATGCCTGAGCTAATAAATCAAATCACTCTTGATCATTCATCTTCCAATTTCAAAAAGCCTGGGCATCACTGAGCTTTCATTTATCCACATTTGCTTTCAGAACTTAAGTCCCTAGCTACAGAGGTAGCAGTGATTCCCAGAAGAAACTCCAAAGACCACTGCCCACACTATGTAGTGCCCACACTATGAAGCCCTGCTGCCAGGGCCTAGAATTCCTTGTTTTGTCAAAGTCAAGCTGTGGGTTTTGGTTACACCAAAATCTGTAGTTTTTGCTTTAAAAAAAAAAAAAAAAAAAAGATTTTATTTTTAAGTAATCTCTACACCCAACATGGGGCTCAAATTCACGACCTGGAGATCAAGAGTCACATGTTATAACAACTGAGCCAGTCAGGCACCCCCCCCCCCCTTTTTTTTTTTCCTGAGAGTGAGAGAGACAGACAGACAGACAGAAAATCTTAAGCAAGTTCCACTCCCAGCTAAGAGCCCTCATGACCTCATGACTGTGGGATCATAACCTGAGCAGAAATCAAGAGTCAGAAGCTTAAACAACAGAGCTATCCGGCAGCCCCGCCGTTTTTTTTAAAATA